ACGCTAAAACATGCTCACTGCATGCTACATATTTATACTAAAACTACTGTCAAAATTCACTGACATTGATGTCAAACCTGGTGTTTGTCTGAATGTTTGTTAAACTTTCATGCATCCTGGAAATGATTCCGTGCAGAAACAAACCATGGTAGAAGATGAAAGGAATTGCATCATTATTACATTTTCTTTTTGTCATAATTATTGGTAAGTTTGAATGATCAGTAAAGGTTGTCTTTATTTTGATTCTATACTCTATTAGATCAACTTTAAAAATGATAAATTGAAGGAAGTGGCAAGCAGTGTGGGCCTGTAGTGCTAGTCAGTAGTTCTAGTTGTGACTCATGTACAGCTAAACTATACACAGTGGCATTTTTTTAAATAACAAAAAACAATAACGCATATTCAAACTTGAAAGTTGTGGATTTCAATTGAAATTTTGAAAACCGGTACGTTATATCCTCGCCCATATATTCAGGTTATCTTTAGAAACAGGTATTGTGCCTGATGATTGGAAAAATGCAACAATAGCCCCAGTATACAAAAAAGGTCACAAATCAAAAGCCAGCAATTACAGACCAATATCCCTTACTTGTATCTCCTCTAAATTAATGGAACATATTATAGTCTCAAACTTGATGACCTATTTTGACAAGTATAGTATCCATAGTCCCTACCAACATGGCTTTCGGTCAAAATGTAGCTGCGAAACCCAACTGCTGAGTTTCTCCCAAGAAGTATTTGACAACATAGACAGTGGACAACAGACAGACGGGATTGTGATGGATTTTTCAAAGGCCTTCGACAAAGTCGACCATCACAAATTGATCCATAAGCTAAACACAATGGGTAATAACAAACAGGTATCCACCTGGGTCAGGTCATTTCTTCGCCATCGTAGCCAAAGGGTTGCAGTGGAAGGTCAAATCTCCAACCAGCTACCAGTGTTATCCGGTGTCCCTCAGGGTTCAGTCCTAGGACCCTGTCTGTTCCTGGCATATATCAATGATTTGCCAGAAACTGTCAAAAGTAAAACCAGGTCATTTGCGGATGACACTATAGTCTACTTGACAATTAAAGACCAGACTGACGCTGACAGACTACAGGACGACCTACATAAACTTGAAGTTTGGGAACGGGACTGGGCTATGGAGTTCAACCCAGACAAGTGTGAGGTGCTGAGGATCACCCGTAAAAAGAACCCCACCATCTTGCCATACACCCTTCATAATAAAACTATCAAATCAGCAGAATCTGCAAAATACCTTGGAGTAACTATCTCTAAAGATCTAAACTGGACACAGCATATAAATAACATCACCTCCAAGGCCAAAAATTCTCTAAGATTCATCCAGAGAAACGTCAAAACCCAAAACAGGCAACTCAAAACATCAGCCTATGTTACTTATGTCCGACCACAACTAGAATATTGTTCCACCATATGGCACCCCTGGCAGAAACATCTAAGTCATAAGATTGAAAGTGTCCAACGAGCTGCGGCCAGATATGTCTGTAATAATTATAATTTTGACAGTAGTGTAACCCAAATGCTAAATGAACTTGGGTGGCCTTCCCTAGAAAGCCGCAGACTCCAGTCCTCTCTAGTAGTGTTCTATAAAATCCAATACAAACTTGTGTATGTTGACCATAACCATCTGACCCCAACTAGAAATCTGAACTTCCTGATCCCCCAGTCCCGTACCCAATATCATCTAAATTCCTACTTCCCTAGAACTCTCAGGTATTGGAATAGCCTTCCATATCAGGTCAAATCCAGTCCCAGCCTAGATACCTTCAAGGATAGGCTGGCGACAGTCACCTTCTAGTCTCTTCCCCAGTATGTTTTTAATCTTGCACTATTCTTTTTATCCTGCACCTTTTTTATCTGTGATCTTTATCTTTTAGTATGCACTATTTCTTTTAACACAGTTTTCCTGACAAGCGCCTCCCAGTCATAGTCAGAATTGATTGTTCGGGAGTAACATGTAGATGTTACGATACCGAAATCAACTTGATATCCGTAAAGTTACCGAAATCAATTTTTCATTACCCAAATCAACTTATAAAATCACAATTAAACGTTTTATTATATTTTTTCCATTATAATCTAATACAATAGGTTAAGTTTGACTTTCATGCAAAAAATCAGTTCGAAATAATTAATGATTATGAAATAAGAAACAAATAACTAAATATCAAGATTACTTCCCTGATTTGTCACTAACTGAAATATATGTTACCATACCGAAATCGGCTTGTAAAACAAGCACAATTAAGCGTTTTATTACATTTTTTCCATTATAATCTATTACAATTAGGTTTAGTTTGACTTTCAAGCAAAAAATTAGTTCGAAATAATGAATAATTATGAAATTAGAAACAAATACAGTGTAACTTCCGAATTCCGGAACTTCTGAAATCCGGAAACTTCTAAAAACCGAACAATTTTTTCGGTCCCGATTTTTTCCCTTCTATTTTCTATTAATATAATACTTCTGAATTCCGGAACTTCTAAATTCTGAATTCCGGACGATATTTTCGTAAAATTAGAGTCAAATCAATGCAATTTTACCTCCAAAAACCGGAAATATCCAAAGGTGTGAAATACATTGTAAATCGAGAATGTTTACCCTGCAGGAAGATTTAATCTCCCTATCGATTGTTTACTAATTAGCGGTGATCGTGTAATTTGACACGCGTTAAAATCACAAACTGTGAAATGGTATGTTTGAAGTGATGCGGTTAATCAAAGTAATTTACGGCGGTCAGTTAATTTGAAGTGTTTATTAGCGGATTAAATGACAATTAATTGGACAATGTATGCATCAAACGTCTTTAAGGATTTCGATGCATTTGATGTAATAATTAATTAACTAGCATCGGACAATAGGTAAGATTATGCAATTAACAACATTTCTACAAACTGATAGAAAATTCAAAAGCATTTGCAGGTAAGATAAAAATGTATTCTTTTCATTCACATCTTTATCTTGATTAAAAGACTATTATATATGATATTACAGTAATGGCCACATCTTCCTTGACATTTAGTGATATTAAGTGGCTTAGTCTTGTCCACATTATCATAAACTTCTGAATTCCGGAAACCTCTGAAATCCGAACTTTTTGACAAGTCCCATGGGTGTTCGGTTTTCGGAAGTTACACTGTATCTAAATATCAAGATTACTAAACGAACCGAAATATGTGTTATCATATCGAAATCGGCTTGTAAAAGTTAAAATAAACATTTTAATAGATCTTGTTTAATTAACTAATTAATATAAAATCATTCAAACTGAACCATAAACAAAGGAAAATAATATTTAATTATAATAAATGATGATGTTATAGACGGATATGTATATTATATCATGATTACTTCCTTTGTTATTAATGTGTTGGGGGGCGTCCGTGGCCGAGTGGTTAAGGTTGTTGACTTCAAACCACTTGCCCCTCACCACTGTGGGTTTGAATCCCGACAGGGACTTCGGATTCTTTCGTGTGAGGAAGCTATCCAACTAGCTTACGGAACGTCGGTGGTTCTACTCAGGTGCCCGTTTGAGCCTGAAATAATGCACGGAAGGGCACCTGAGGTCTTCCTCCACCAGGAAAGCTGAAACGTCGCGATATGACCTAATCTGTGTCGATGTGACGTAAAACCCAAAACAAACAAACAAACAAATTAATGTGTTGCATTACTGAAATCAAATCAGATTTCATTTCAAAGATGAGAACAACCCCTAAATATTTTGCATGAATAGAAAATCATAAACTTCCGGTTGAAGTTGGATATATTTTCTTCATAAAACATAGACATGTACAAAATTTATAATTAGCTTTAACTCGTATTACAGAGTATTATATTTTTCCATTAAAGTCCGATCATAGATTTTTTAAAAATACGATTTGAATAGAAAATTGTTATGGCACGACAATCAGATCAGATGCAGATATATAACATGCTTGTGCTAATGTCTTGTAATAAATGGTTGCTGTACATACATAATTTGTGTACCAAATATCTCTAAACCTGCAATAATTATTTTAGTTTCAGTTGCAACTGCATCAATGCAGTCGGGTTTTCTTTAATTTCTAAATCATAAATTATCTTAAATAATCACTATATATGTAGTATACATGTATTTTATATACAAAATTTAAACTTCACAGCTGATTTCGGTAATGCTAAACACATAACGGGTTGTTTAGAACAAAGGGAAGTAACTCAATAATTACATTTTTGTTAATAACACCATTAAAATAACATATTTTCAATAGATTTTTTAACTGAAAGTCTATTTCACTAATTTTCATCAAATAATGAAGAAATAATAGCAATATTTTAACTAGGTTGGTTTTTACGAGTTGATTTCGGTAATGAAAAGTTGATTTCGGTAACTTTACCGATATCAAGTGGATTTCGGTATCGTAACGTACCCTTTGAAAACTTTATCAATTTAGAATACCATATATTTTGACATAATATGAACCCTTTAAGGGGTGTGACTAAATACCGAATATGAATTCATATTCGCGAATATGAATTCATATTCACGAATATGAAGAGAATACAGAATATGGCGATTATTTTCATAACATTTTGGCGTAGAGTCAAAAAATGACACTATAATTAACATATATCTCATAGTATATTAACCCTTTACCTCATATAGACGTGTTTTGACAACCCCCTGTTACCATGGTAACAGGAAATTTAAGATTGAGCATGCTGTTCTGAGGCTATGGTCCAGTCAACATTTGTGCCAAGTTTCATCAGTATTGAAGCATTTTTCATAGTTTCATAGAAGTTTTAACTTGTAACAGGAGGCTTTTCATTGAAAATAGCCATTTTTCACAATATGCTCATGAGGTAAAGTGTTAAATAAAATATTATTCGATAAGTGTTGTTTGAAAATAGCCTAGACAAAAATAGTTCATTTTATCTATCAAATATAAACTGTCACATATGTTAAAACAAGTCTTTTTTGCCTTATTAGTGACCAAAACATAAACAACAGGGCTTTTTTTTCCATATAAAATTTTGTGTTCTTATTATGATTTTTATTTTAATCTTTCATTGTTATGGTTAATATTTGTTGGGTAAAAATGTTCATATTTGTTATTCTCGTTCATTTTCGGGTATCGTTTTGGTCACAATAATTTACAACCAATTAAATTCAGAAATTCAATTTCTTTCATTCAAAGATATAATACAAGTAAATATGAGTGTTTGTTGATGAAAATAATCCCAAAAGTGCTGATTTTTAAGAAAATAATATTCATATTGAGTACTCCCTTTCATATTCGCGAATATGAGTTCATATTCAGTATTTAGACATACCACTCTTTAAGTCAAGGTTCTGTAGGTCATATCCTTGATTTTCAAGCATTTATGCAGTTAGCAATATACTGCAATATATTGCAATATGTCTGTAAATATCACAATATATCGCAATATGACTTCTCTTTGCAAAACCATAGTATAACATTTTCTTATCATCTAATAAAAACCATGAAATTTGGTTTTAAAGTGAAATTATTGAATTGAGTTTATTTATAACATGAACTTGAGTATATAAGTGGGTCCGTAGGGTTTACAGTTAAATTATGTATTATAATAATAAATATATAATACAAAATGTATTATATTTTCATTATTAAAAATTTGGCCAAGACTTTATCAAAAATTACTAACTACTTGTACCTCCCTTTAATTACATGAACTGTTATGATATTGATACATAAAATTCTTCATCTGAGCATCAGGTTTGTCATATAAGACCAAACATTTTGTGAGGTAAAGGGACTTAAACAAGTTACAACTTTACATGTATTTTGGGTTTCTGAATTAAGGGCAGCAGGGGAAAAGAATGGTGCTTATGTACCCACTGTAAGTAACTCTGGTGGGCTAATAGAAACAATGTAACATAATATGAAATATAACAATACATTTTCTTTCCCTTGTATTTAATTCTAGGCACAGAATGGAAACAAAGTTCTTCGACTGCAGTACCAGTGATCAGAGTTGAGCTGTCTGATTCCTGCCGCACTGAAGCCAAATTTGAGTGGCTTATTTTTGAGGATGAAACAAGCCTACCAAATTGCTCCATTGTGTATGAAAAACATGACATATTTGATTCAAACATCTCCAAATATTTGGACCAACTTTCCACTTTGAAGAACTCTGGAACATTTACAATAAAAGAGTTGGTTCTTGGAGAAAATTACTCTGTTCAAATAGTTTGTAAGAAAGCACACTCAGATATTTTAACATTTAGCATTGAAGGTATGTATTTTTATCAAAAAGTTCTTGATAAATATTGATTTTCCTGTTTAATTTTTAAAGATAAACACATTTTTGTACTTTGTTTTTTTTTCTGTCGAAAAATGTCTTCCTGTCTGTATACCAGTCTAACAAACAGTTGTTTACCAATAACTGGTGACCTGATATTGATGGAAGACTATTTCATTTCACGGACAAAAAAATTTGTCTTTTGCCAAGGATTTGAACTCACATATGCTGATCTCAATTGTCAGCTCATTCGCTCTTAGAACAAATTTTCTTCAAATGTCCAGTCGAGCCCAAATGATATGATGCATGTGAATAGTTCTGAAAAAGAACAAAAAAACCTCCATAATTTTCAGTATAAAAAGGCAAGAAGAATATTGTTTTTTCGATAAATTCATTCTAAACTGTTTTACTTATGGTTGAACAGGGCAGATCTTCATTCTACAGCAGTGTGGCTTTACCTAAGGAAAATTCCTTAAAATCATGCAGTTTTCCTTTAAAATTCAATTTTCATCTAATATTTTCTTCCCTTTTACCATGTTGTTTTCTCACAAATTTAAAGACACATTCATGCCACAGAAATCCATATTTTGTAATTCTTAAGAAATGTCAAACTATGTTTAAATAATGGAATAAGAGCATGTTACAATGTAGATGTTTTACAACTAAAAAAAGTAGCGCTGAACATGAATTCATTTAAAGTTAGAAAATGTAAATAAAGTTGTATTTTGAAGAGCACATTCCCCTACTTGTAAAAAATAAACACTTGACAGACACCACTAGATACCGGTCTAGAAAGCATAAATTCCTTCCCATTTTAAAGGCCCATTTTGCCTCAGAAATTTATTTCTTAATAATTTAATTTGCTTCTTTAATTACAAATTATTTCAAATTATTACTTTCTTCATGTTATAAATGCATGTTGAACTTTCTAAAAAAATTAAAAAAATTATACATAAGTGTGGCACATTGTCTTTAAGATATTTAACCAATGAGCAATTTTTGCAATATTTAATATCAAAGTCAAAGTTTTAAATTATTCTCCACTATTTCAGATAAGGATTGTTCTTCCATTGATGGTAAGGGTGAATCTTCGGACACGCCAGTGGTATTTAAACAAGAGACGTCATTGTTGGGCACTAGAGATTCAGTATTAGGAATTGTTTTTGCTCTTTTTGGAATTCTGATAATTATTGTGACAACTTTTTATGTTCTAAGAAAGATTAGAAGACGCCAGCGTCTAGAACGGATACGTAGATACTTAGGGTGAGTGAATTTGATAAGATATTTATGATATACTTAAAGAAAAAAAATGTTTATATCAAATTTCAGAATGCCCAATTTTAAGGTCACACTGACAGGTCAATGTCCAATGTTTGTTCAATGTCCTCTCTTTATGTTTTGAAGCACTAAAACAGTGTTGTGACTTGTCATTCATGGATTTTTTTTGCTTATTTTATAGCCGATATTTGATCATATTCCTAATTGAAAGTAGTATATTATTTTCCCAAACCACAGGAAAGAAATTCCCAATTGAAAGTTACAATAAAAAAATATTGAATAACAAATTCTAAAATCTTTGTGAAAATAAGTGCTTCTATACTGTTACTGTGCTTAAATGGTTGGAGATGCTGTCCTAGACAGTGATTTTTTGCATTCATTTAATCACTGCAAAATTTAAGTCCTGCATTTTTTCCCAATTTTTAACAAAACATGGCTGAAATTCCCAATTCCATGAGTATAGGTCATGCTCCCAAAATCTGGGAAAAGAAATATCTCATTAACAGCTGTAGGCCTAAATAACTGTCTCAAAATGAGTTTCTCAAATGCATGTTAGGCTCCAAAACTATAAAACACTTTTTGTGACATGTACATGTATGTGATAAAGATAAAAAAGGACGCTTAAAATTAAAAACAAATGTCTAAAGAAAAGTTTTTATGAAAAAAAAATTCTGAAGGAATGTGATGATTTTTTTGTTATATCCCTTATTATTGAGGAGCCCTTTGCAGAAATCTTTGGTAAAATTTTAAGAAAAAATGTTTCCGAATTGTGAGGCCCCACACTTTTTGGGAACCTTTGACCCCTTTTTGGGACACTGAATTTCTTTGTTAAAAAAAAATTCAAATACATTCCCTTACTTCCCCCAGGTGAAAACTTTTACATGACTTAGGGTTATTCTTATTTCCCTTTATTTTTGGTCCCATGATAGAATTGAAATTTTTCCAGCCAAGGGGCCCAACGGGTAAAAGGGTTTGTAAAAATAAAGCATCCCAATTTCATAAAAACCAAAAATGAAATATGCTTCCGTATGTTTTTTTTTACTTTTAAGACTTATAATATTTTGATTATTATCTCATTTCAGGTCATCATTGATAGATCCATTTGAAAATATGCAGGACAGGGAACAAGAAAATGGAAGTGAAAGATTAATAGGTGCAACAGAAAGCTAGCAGTTTGAGGGACAGATTTAGTTCCAATGTGTTAGTTAGTGAAGAAAAACTAGCTGACCTACAGTTTTTTTTTATATTAATCAAGGTGATTAAAGGCACATTATGCTTCAAAAATCCATATTTTTTTGTAATTCTTTAGAAATGCCAAACATGTGTTTGATAATGTTTTAAGAATGGATTAACAGCATATTAGATATTCAACAACTGAACAGAGTAACGCTTAACATGCAGTGATGTGTCATAAAGGTAGCAAAGTGTAGCAAAACTGTGTAGTATTTTGACTTCCATACAAAATTCTACATGTAAGTCACTAGATATACCTTTTGCAAACATAGCAAAATAAGCAAAAGATAGTTTATGTATGTGGCAAATTAGTATTTTTTGAAAACTGAAACTAGATACCAAAGATTTTGAGAAATGATAAAAGCAATGTAAGGCATAATGGGCCTTTAAGTTATTATGTCACCTTAGTGAGATACTATCATGTCTGCAGTTTTGATAGTTAAACACAGAGACATCTGTACTTTCAGCTTTATCTTGGTAATGGTACATTAGCTTCAGTGTTATAGTCATGTACCAAAAATTTGAAACAATGTTCGGATTCATTTGTTTTGTCTAGTTGAAACAAGACTTGTTTAAAATGTTTCATTGTTGATCTGAGGTTTACTAGTATATTGAAATTTTGGAACCAGTCTGGAAAATGTTCACATTTGATTGGTTTATTAATGGTAATGATAATTTTGAATTTGACCAATGAGATCGCTGTATTTAGCTGACTGGTTGCTAGACTGAAAATCAGTTCTTGAGTCAGATGGTTTTAAAATTAAGGTTTAATGTACATGTATTGCCTTAATGGTATGAAAATATGTATATATGAAGGTATAGTTTACATTGTAAATTAGATTATATCAAAAATTAGGACCCCAGTCTTATGAGGGCTCTGTCTAATAGTCAAGTAAATATGGTAGATTATATTGTTAATTTAAAGGTAATACCATAATGGTATAAATTAATGTCTAAATGGTTGATGGTATTGTAATGCATTGTGGTATATCTGAAAATAAAGCTTTAATGGTATATCTCAAGACAATGCTTAATGGCATATCTTACAATATTGTCTTAATGAATACATTATAATACAAATTCTTTATGTAATCTTAAGGCTGGGAAGACGGATAAGGGAAAACAGAAATATGTTTACGGCAGGGAAGATAGAAAAGGGGAACAGAAACATGGCTTTATCTGTATTTCTTAAATCTTACAATCATGTGTCATGTTATATGAGCTGCTTACTTAGAAATAGCCACACGGCCATCATTTTATATATTAATTTAGTTAAAGCGTTCTTGTACTTAACTTTTAAGAAATACAAATTAACTTTGTGATATTTATGGTCTAGATTTCATTCTGTATTTCAGGATTATTATTTTGTTTTTAGCCCCTTGACATCACATGATGTAAGTGCGTAAACAAGGCTTATATTAAATTGAATTTCGCCGATCTTTATAATTTATCAAAAATAAAGTTTAGTTAAAGACATTGGTATGGATCATACAGTATCAACCATTTCTAAATTTTCTGTATTATTTTATTTGTTAATTTAATACTAATTGGTAGTCATAGCGCCAATGTATGCTATCTGATTGGATGACCCAGATGAATCAGAAGCTGTACACGATACCCAGCCAATTTCTGTTCTCCTTATTCTGTCTTTCCACTTTAAGGGAATACAAATGTATATCTGGAAAAAGTACCTTAAGTAATCAGTATATGTCAGTGAATACCTTGATGGTATTTACCATTTATTTGCTCAGATGCTTTAATAATTCCATGTGTTTGAATGAATTGTTTATTAATATTATTACCTCAATGTTTGGCATTATACGTACATGTACATGGTTGATGAACGGCCAGGTTACCTTTTCCCACAAGTTATGTGACAAAATTTACCAACCTCACCGCAAACAATGTCAAAGGATTTCCTCTGAAAGTTGAAAATGCTGCCTAAAAGTTGTTTTTCTATGTTTAAAACAGAGGGAAAAAAACAGGAGTGTTTTTTATTTGATTAAAATGCTTTATGTATGTCAAGGAAAGACTGTTTAGACAATTGGAAACATAATTTTTGAAATTATGTATTGTAAAGAATACTGCTGAACCTATTAAATCAAGACCTAATAATTTGAATTTCGATTTTATTTTATTGATGATTTTTAACAGAAATTTTAGAAAACATAAGACATTAGTTATAATATATTTTTTTGTATTTAAACATCAGTTGTAATGTTTTCGTCAATATTTAAGAGTTTAAGAAGCTTCTTTTCTTACATATTGAAAAATATATTTATGACAATGCTTTTGTTTTGAGGGAAAGGTATTTGTTTAACTGCTGAAGTAATTTTAAAACTTTCTCAGATTTTGTCATTATTTTTTGTACCATAACCACAATTGATTTGTGGCTTTCTTCGGAGTCACTTGTTTGATTGACATACTGCCAGAATTACTTGTTTGATTGACAGGCAAGTATTACTTGTTTGATTGACAGGCTGCAAGTATTACTTGTTTGATTGACAGACTGCCAGAATTACTTGTTTGATTGACAGACTCAGAATAATTTGTTTGATTGATATGTGTATTTTATTTTGACAGAGTGATCAATATGAGATTATCAGTTGTAAGGCTTGTTCATTTGTAACTCACTAGGGCACTGAGATACATAATTATATTTAATTGTCTAGAGGTCACAGAATGATTAAGCCCAATCTTAATGAAATTTGTTTGTAAGGTTTCATTTATGGGGCTTGATAATTATTTGTTCAACATTTGTTTTTTGTAATTTCCAATTGTGACTGCGAGATTTGGGGCGAGTAACATCTTTTTGTATAACATGTATATAATGTATGATATTATTGACAGGAAAGGCCATTGTGATGTTGTAAAAAATTAGGTCGCTTAAGTGCTAAGGCTATATTAAATTAGGTGCTTTATTAAAGACACAGATTATTTTTAGAGTATGATGGCACTAAGTGTACATGTACACTGTGCATGTTTAATTGGCATTATTATTATAAATATATATAAATATTTTATGTTTCTTATACATTGTGTTATTAACTTGAGAAACCTAAAACAATAACTACATGCAGTTGTGAATGTGTATTTAGAGTTGCGTGCCTCCAGATGAGCAAAATTAAATATTAAGAAAAAATTAAACTTGAGAAAAATGTACTTAGATTTAAAGGAAAGATTTAAGATTCATTTTAAGTGGGATGCAAGTACTACTTGCAATGTATAATTTTTTTTTCACTTCACAAGATTTCATTTTTAAATACATTTTTGACATTTTCATGAGAATAAGCATGAATCTGGAGGCATGCTGCTTTAAGATCAAGACAAAAATTACAAGGATCTTCACAATGTGTTCTGAATGTTTAGAATGCAAATGTATTTATTATTTCTCAGGATCAGAGCTAAAATATTTTAGGGCAAATTGCTATTACTGGTATTTTAAATTGTATTTTATTGATTGGATTTTATTTTTTTACGGTTAGGTAACATATTTAAAAGTGATGTTTTTAGACAATTTACAGTAAGTCAATGAAAAAAAAATCTTTTAAAAACCAGAAACTACTGCAGTCAATTTGGAATTTATGAAAGTTGATAAATATACCTATTGACCATACTGAAATGCTGTAAATTTTATTTTTGTGGAATTATAATTATTTATAACTGAAACCTTATTGAAAAGGTATTCATAATGTTTCTGTTGTAAGTGCTATAATTGCAGATTATACTTTTTAATTTTAATAATTGAATAAAAGTTATAATAATTTAATATAGTAATCAGAAGAAATTGTAATCAAAACAATAATATGAATAATGATTTACTAAGGTCTTAATGCAGCAAGGTCATTCCTTCTTGTTAAATTGAATATTTTTGACCGACTTATAACCAGTACTGACCTAGCTTCTTTATGTATTATTTGGTTAAAAACCATCCTTTAAGAATTCATGGTTTACTGTACACCTGTGGGCCAAATTCATGAGTAAATTTTCAAGAGTTGTTTTCTTTTTCTCTTGATTTTTGATAATAATTCTTTTTTGTTCAATATAGCTACAGATAGAATAAAATCTATCCTACTGTGCTTATTGTGAAAAAGTTTGGACATTTAGTCGTTAACCGATGATTTTTAAAGATCGCTTGCTGTATATGCATATGTTAATGAAGGAATTATTTTGCGTTTGACAATTATTTGAAGCCTTACAGTTTGTTGTATTATTTGTGTACATAGTACTCTGTTGTTATTAGCTATACAATAGCTTTCGGTGATGCCAAATTTTATAATTGTAGATACATGTACTTTTTTTACGATATCTTTCTTAAATATAATGTTTGAAATAGTTATAGGTGTAACAATGTACATTATCTCAGATTTTTCTTCTCAACTTTGAATATGCTGTAAGATATTTATAGGTTTTTTTATCATTTTTTTGTGTGTTTTTTGTTTTTTTTTAATATCAAAGAAGTAAATGTTTGTGAAACCTGGGACTTAAAGGGAAGTTTCGGGTTAAACATGGTTTATTTTGGCTTTTATGATTTTTTTATCTATAAAAGGTCAATGCCAGTTAAGGAATACACCTAGAATAGTGTGCATTTGCTTATAAAATCGTGTTGGAAAATTGTTTATATTAAGAAATTTAGAATTAGCAACCTCACACATGTTTAGTGAATAAATTATACTTGCTGCTATACGAGCCACATTATGTATCACCATGTAAATTAAATATACTCTTTTTCTTAAACAATTCTATCAGTCTTAAAAATATATATGGTTCAAATATACTTAAATGTTTTAAGAAGTTATAAGGGGGTGTACACTAAATGGTCTTTCAAACCAAGGTGGTATCCTAAACCAAGGTTTAATAGTTAGGATATTAAGAATAAAGAAAATGAGATCTGGTTGATAAATATTTTTGATTGTTTTGTTTTTAACCAGGTTTTCCGAAGGAAAAAACTGGTTATTAGATTGAGGTATGTCGGCGGGCGGATGGGCGGACGGGCGGGCGGGCGTAAACAATTTCTTCTGTGCGCAACTCCTCCTACATTTTTCAACGGATTTTGACCAAACTTTCACAGAAGCTTTGTCATCAAGTGACCTGGCGCATATTGTCCGGGTTTTGTGATTGGATAATATTTGACCTAATTATGGCCCTTTGATTTTTTTCCTTATATAGAATATATAGTGAATAACTTCTTCTGTGCCCAACTGTTCCTACATTTCTCAATGGATTTTGGCCAAACTTTCACAGAGGCTTTGTCATCAAGTGCCCTGGCGCATATTGTCCGGGTTTTGTGATTGGATAATATTTGACCTAATTATGGCCCTTTGTTTTTTTCCTTATATAGAATATATAGTGAATAACTTCTTCTGTGCCCAACTGTTCCTACATTTCTCAATGGATTTTGACCAAACTTTCACAGAGGCTTTGTAATCAAGTGCCCTGGGGCATATTGTCGGGGTTTTGTGATTGGATAATATTTGACCTAATTATGGCCCTTTGTTTTTTTTCCCCAATATAGGATATATAGTGAACGATTTTCTGTGCGCAACTCCTCCTACATTTCTCAACGGAATTTGACCAAACTTTCACAGAGGCTTTGTCATCATATGCCTTAGGGCATATTGTCAGGGTTTTGTGATTGTATAATATTTGACCTAATTATGGCCCTTTGTTTTTTTCCTTATACAGATTATATAGTGAACAATTTTTACCATGCGCAACTTCTCCTACATTTCTCAACAGAT